GGCCTCGCAGGCTCGCGTAGTGCCGGTGCCGCGCGGGAGGTTGTTTTTTTTAACGTCCGCGTTCCGTGATCTGCTCTACCGAGAGGAGGGAAGCGGAGCCGGGCAGGGACCGAGGGCTCGGCCTGCTGGGGTGGCGGCAAAGGAGGGGTGACCCGGGGCCGGCCCGGGGTCTGTCCTGACCCGCTGACAGGGCTGCGGCCGCCCCTTGTTTCTGTACGGCTTTTCCCCCCGAAAAGAAGGCGTCGGTGAGTGTCCCCGGGTCAGTGCCCGCCCGGCGTTTCCCTGTTCCTTAGAGAACACGTAACCCGGAGAGGGTTCTTTGTGCCACTGGGGTGTGGGCACCGGGGGGGTGGTGTCCCTCCCTCCCGTGGGTGTTCTCAGCGTTAAACCTTCCCGTCTCCGTGGGGGGTTTCCTCAAGGGAGAGCAGAGACGTTTGAGCAAAGTCCTGTCGCGTTCCCAGAGGAGTTAGGTAGCTGTCGTTACTGGTAGCTCTGGTTTTCCTTGAAGACTGGATGGTTTTTGTTGCTCAACAAAGAGAAAAAGGGACAATGAAGTAAAAAAACGCAACAAAACATTGTTCCCCTTGAATTGGCTTGTTCAGCCAAACTGGAAGAGCAGTTGTGGTACGCTGTGCGTTGTGGAGTTAAAAAGACTTTGGATTAGAGTGCAGTCATCTCTTAACTGGGTCTTCTCTTTTTTTTTTTTTTTCCTCCTGCTGTACCTCCAGACATGGATGAAGAAGGCAACACCACCAGCCTTGAGGTACAATATTGCAATACAATACAATACAAAAAATAGTAGTTTTGGACATACTTATTTTCCTATTAGTACTTCCAGAAGCTGAAAGCTACCATACCTAATTTGATAACATTTGGGTAATGTCTTCAGATGCAGTGCTTTTACTTTGAAAGAACCCTTCCCGATAAGAGTTTTATCCTTTCAAAAACTTCAAGATTGGTCCCATTTTTTTGTGTGTGTATGTCTTTATGATTTTTTTTACAATTTTTTTTTTACTGCCAACCATTCACACTCTGCTTCATATTCTAAGCTGTTAGCAAATGATGCATTTAAAAACCTTTTGCTCCAACAGTATGTTTTTAACCTAAAGATGGAATAATTGCAGAATTTGCTGGCAGCCAGCTCTTCTTGCATTTGTTCTTAATCATAAATACGAAAGTCCTAGTCCAACAAGGCGCATGGTGCTTTTCATAGTCATGAAAGGCAAAGCCTATGTCAGGAAATAGTTCTTCTCAGAACTAAAAAAATACATATAACCTTTTTTTCTTGGAGGCCTGAATTCCTTCTTTCCCTCATTGTTTTTCTGTATTGAGGCACGAGGGTTCAGTCTGTGCATGTGTGTGTGTTGGTCATGAATTTGTTTCTTCTCCTCATGTAGCAGCAATGTGACTGTCAGTTGGCAACTACTACTTTTGATGTTATTTGAGATCATACAGGCCTGGACAGTAGCAGAACTGTGCGTGTCCCTGTCACTGTGAAGGGGAAATAAATTAAGTGACCACAATAGACTTAGACCAAGAATTCACTGTTTTACCAGCATGTGTTGTATTTGTTTCTAACAAATTTTAAACTTTTTTTTTTTAAATTCTTTTGACTTTCCACTACAATCCTACTAATAGTAGTCTGATGATAGTAGTGATAGAGTTAGTTTGACTCATGTTGGGAAGATAAATTATTGATATGCTGTGCTAAAGCAACCTAAGGAGACAAACTGAAGACAGCAATTTGTCTGCATTGACTGGTCGGGCAGGAGTTTTATTTGTGCTGTAGAACCAGAACGAATTTCATGAGAGAGGCTAGTTTGGCGACTCTTGGCATGCACTTCATTTTTCTCTTGGCAGCAAAGCTAAACTAAGAGGTCATCCAGATCTGGAATCCAGGGCAAAAACTGGGACCAAAACTGCATGCAGTACTTAACCTTACAAGTACTTGAACATTCAAGATTTACAGGGAGACACACCTGTCCTTTTACTTGGTTTGTTTCCTCCTTTTTCCTAATATTTGGTTTGCTTTTTTTCCCCTGTTCTGGTAAGTTTTGAGGTGGCATTTGTGAGACTGCTTTAACTGCCGGATTTTTTACCTGAATAACAATACTTGGCACAGGTCCCAGGACAGTATACCTGAGGTTAGAGCTTCTCCCAATGTGCATAGTTTTCTTTTTATGATGAATTTAATCTGCTGGTTTATGACTTTTCTCAGTCTCATAAAGTCCTTTACATTCAGTTCTCATCCTTGTTGCTCTGAATAACATAAAATCATCAAAAACAGTTATCACCTCACTGTTTGACCCTGTTTTATGACTATTTAGGAATGCATTGAGCTGACATCAGTGCAAAACTCCACTAATGACCCTTCTACACTGAATGTCTTGTGTTTGCGAAGTGGGCTATAGTTGAAAGAAAGATGTTGGAAAATACAATCAAGTTGCATTGTATGTGCCAGACGAGGCATCGAGATGTTCTTATGGAGGCTTTTTGCCAGTTGTGGGAAATTAATTTCACCTTCATTTTGGTGCTAGGCTGTGCTACCAGCAGGTGGAACACGAATTCTTCAGTTTGTAGAAGACAGAATACAGACTACTATGGTAATGTATAGCTTTAATCAGCTGGATGAAAGACTGTCTGTGCATAAATAACGTGTAGCTTCTTGTAAGTTCTAAGAACTCTACTAAGTCACAGTCAAAGTCTGAGTGTTTCTTTGCTGTTGCTGTGCATGAGGCAGGAATTAATTACTGTTATTTCATCCCATGTACGTTGAGTTGATTAGCTCACAGATCATTGGGGGGAAAATGCCGAATATTTTGCATGTGAGCTTACGAGTGGGATACTGATGTAGTTAAAACATCACACATGCAAGAAGTTTAAGCTAAAAAATTAAGTATTTATGAACGTGCTTGACTTTCAGACGTCTTACTGAGCTAAGTGTCCTTCAGCCCTCCAAAAAGTACTTAATAATTTTCAACTTTAGAAGTGACTAACTTCTTTCCCCTCTGAATTCCTCTCACAGCTGACTGGAATTGCAATTGGAGCTGCAGTTGCATTACTACTTATAGCAATTGTTGTGTTTGTTGTTTACAGAAGAGTGAAACAATCTAGTAAGTACTCAATGACTATGTATGTTTTAAAAACAGTTTTCTCAGCTGTTTTCAGTATTTTTTTAATAATATGTGGTAGATTCTATGCTGATTCATAATAACTGCTTGCTGTGAAGACAGTGGTTCTTGCAGGAAAACAGCTTTAAAAGGATGAAGAACTTGTGTTGATTCACTTACCCAGGTCTGAACATAGAATTCAGAACTGTCATGTGCAGGATGCTGGAGGTTTTTATTTCTGTAGTGTATGGTAGCCTTAGTATCAGTTGGCATGCAAATAATTTCAACCCTGCTGCGATTTTGCTGTTACAGTAATGAGAAATGGATGAATTAGAGGTTTCCTTTGTGAGATTAAAATTACCTGATCCTTATATCTGTTTAGAGAGCCTTTTCATCTCCTCTGGTGATTAGGTAGAGCCTCAAGCCAGCTCTTCCCTAGTCTGGCTTGGCTAACTGGAGTTGGATAATGAGGTATCGTGTGCTGGTTTAAATTCCAAATGCTGGCCACAAGAGCTTGCTCCTTAGTAGACAGGAGGCACAGCTGTTACAGAGGTAGCAAAATTGACAACCTGTGCTCAGTTTTCTTTCCCTTAGCACAGAGCTGCAGATGGATTCTGATGTGATGCCTCTGTTTCAGAACAACTTCAGCCACATGTGCCTCAGTACAGATTTCGCAAGAGAGACAAAGTGATGTTCTATGGGCGAAAGATCATGAGAAAGGTGAGTGCGTCTGGCATGGTGGGAGGGAAGTAAAGATTAAAATCCAGTTCAGGAGGTGTTGTAAACTACAATACTTCACTTGCTTAGCCTGGCCCAGGGCCTTCAACCTATAACATTTCACTGGAATTTTGGGGATGTTTCAGAGCTCCTGGAGTTCTGCCTGAATTGCTGGTGGAACAGCAATGGCTTCTCTTTCTGGCCAAACCTTACCTCTTTCAAGAATATTTGCAGACAATAAGGGTAGTAATAAATCAATGAATATCTAATTCCTCTCTGGAGTTGATGGTTGTTTAAATATCTATAGTAATCTGTCTTTCTCAGTAATTAGGATTATATTCAAGATATTCAGTGTCTATATTCAGGCTTGTCCTTGTCAGATAATGACTTCCAGTACTGCCATTACATTCAGAGCTGACACCTTCTTTCCCATGTGACTCTATCTGCAGAGCAGATACTAGAATTTGCCTTTCTGCAGACTACCTGTGAAGTGTACTAAGCATTTCAGCATATGAGCCTTTGTTTTCTTGTACTCAGTTGCAAATAAGACTTGACAAACTCTCTCATTAGAGACTGTTCAAGAGGGGTTTATCCCAAGACTAACCTCTTTGCCTTGGATTGTCACAAGGAATACCACCTGTGCCCTCAGGTTTCTGTCCTGATGTTGTTCCTTGTTCCTGTCCTATTATTCTGAAAGGTCTCCCCAATAATTTTCCATCAGTCAGGAATCTGTTTCTGCATCAGTTGGTTAAATCCTTCAAGGCTATGACTGCCTGTTTGATATTTTCTTCCTTTTTTTTGTTTTTTTTTTGTTTTGTTTGTTTCGTTTTTACTTTTACCTTTGCAAGTGGCTTTTCTTGGGAAATTGCACAAGAAGACTTGAGGAAATCTGGAGACAGACGTTTCCTTTAATGGATTAGGTTAATCTTAGCAGGTAGGCTAGGTGTTCAGCACTGATTGTCTGGATTTCATTTAACTGAAAAGATTAATCTTCCTGTCTTTCTCCTCAAAATACATGCATCCCTTGAAGCTACTTAGTGTATGTGGAACGTGAGACTTGTTTTTCTTCTGACTGACAGTACCACCATGGTCAAAAGAACTCATCTGTTCAGAGGTGTCATGAGGGGCTATGTCAGCGCAGAGATTTTGCATTTGGTTTTGTTACAAGCTTGTGCAATAGGTCCTGGAGGTTGAGGTGACTTCCTGACTCAACACTTCCCATACCAAAATTTATGTAGCAGCTTCTTGGCCCTCCATGTGCAGTTTTAATATATATGATGCTATTGATAAACCCTGATTTTGGAAAGCTGCCTCTTACTCAGATGGGGACTCTGACCCTTTTTCAGAGTAACAAATGTTTATTGCTTGCTTGTAGTCATCTGTGGAATGAATGATGATAAATACAAATGGTTAGTGAAGGAAAAAGGCTATTTAATTCTGACTGTGGTAAGTGCTCCCTGTCCTCTGTCCTGTAGAGTCAGAACCAGGGTGTGGGTCTGGTGGGCTCACCGACCCAGGGGAGCTGTGAGGCAGGAATGGTACTGACCCCTTTTGGGACCAAAGGCAGAGCGTAGTTGAGGACGGTCCTCGCTGTGCCCTGTGGGGTAACCTGCTTGAGTCCAGGTGTGCACTCACATCGCCAGGGCACTGAAAACCAACATCTGTAGAAAAATAAGGTACAGGTAAGTAACCTTGCTTTGTTAGTGACTGCTTGTTGAGGAACACTTTCTTTTGTGAACTGCTACAGCCTTCTGCCTCACACACTGCTAAACTTTGTTTAGGTGAATTCAAATACTTGGACTTAATCAGACACTGTGCTGGTTTAGAACTCCGTTTCATTGTGTAGGGAGATTACTCCCTGAACCTTGCTTTTGCATTGCAGATCAGCCTTTACGTAGAACTTGGCCAAACCAGCCCTCAATGAAAGGAAATTGTGTGTGTGGCCAGCAACTTTGTAATTTTAATATTCAGCTGTTTATATGTAACACACATAAGTAAAGAATGCTTAGAATTCCACATGGTAAAGTCATTTCAGATAGTTTTTGGTTTGGGGTTTTAGACCTTGCTTTTTGCTTTTATTCCTGAGTAAGACATAGAATGTTACAAACTAACTGCTGTTGGTTGTACTTCATGTATTTTTGATAAAATACCAAGATTCTACTTAAAAAAAAAAAAAAAGGACCCTCCAAACTAATTAAAGATTTCTTCTGTGAGGGAAACTTTTTCCTGGGATTTGACTCTTTGAGAAACAAATGGAGAACTAGTAATATTTTGAAAGTAGTTTTCTTGGTCTTGCAGTTGTTGCGTTTCTCCAGAAGGTGGCACTTAGTAACTACTAAAACCAAGTACAAGCCTTGCTGCATGTCACCAGCTCAAAAATGAACCAGGCCCTAGTTTGTCAGCATCACAGGCTGCCATAGGAGTACTGGAGCTTTAAATGTTGCTCGTCTGCCTGATGTTGGATGCTCCTGAGTGAGAACTGTATAGCTAAGTTGTTTTTTTTTTTTCCCCTTCTACCATCCATTACCACTGTAGTAGTTGCTTATTAAAATCAAAGTATATTCCACTTGCTTTCTAGGAAGAAAGTGATCCTGGAGTAGATGTTGTTCCAATCTTCCAAGGTCTTATATGAGTGCTTCACTCTGCTCATGTTCTAATGACTTGGTAAATGAGTTGGAGGCTTTGCAGGCTTGGAACTAGTGGTTGGTTTTTTGGTTTGTTTTGGTTTTTAGTAAATGTTTTTGTTTTCATTATTTCCTCCTAGGTTACAACTCTTCCAAACTCTCTGGTTGGGAACACTGTGCCTCGCCAAAGGATGCGGAAGCGGGCAAAAGTTTTATCTTTGGCTAAAAGGTACTTGGGCTTTTGAGAAGGGGAAAATTCATGTCATGGAGGCTGGTTTTGTGGGTTTTTTTGTTTGTGGTATGGAATCTGTCCCTAGCCTAGCACTTTTCCATAGCTGCTGTTTTTTCACAGTCCTGTCACCTATGCATCAGTCTAGCATTTTGCTGGGAAGTTTGCTGAAATGAAATGGTTTATGTACATAGCACTGTCTCTAGTTTTGCTGAGGAAAGGCCAGGAGGGTGGAATGCTACTGTTTTATCTAATTGATAATGTGTAACTTGGCATGGTGTGCATTTAGTATTGCAGTCAACCTATGGTGTCAGTATACAGCCCATGCTTAAGACAAATGAGGAGACTTCCTGAACTTTCTGACTTGTGTTTTTCTTTGTAGGATTCTGCGTATTAAGAAGGAATGTCCAACTCTGCAGCCGAAAGAACCACCTCCCTCTTTGCTAGAGGCAGATCTAACTGAATTTGATGTAAAGAATTCCCATTTGCCATCGGAAGTCCTATACGTGCTTAAAAATGTTAGGTAATGTTAAATGGAAAGATAAGTTTGGATTTTGGTTTTGACAGATGTTCAAGTGATCTAAATATTTGGCAGTTTGTGTCAAGTCTTAAATTTTATCACTGCATGGTCAGAGTCTTTGAGTCTTTAAGCAGTTGACTGAAAATTCACCTGACCACGAGGAAAGAATAAATGACTTCTAACTTTCTAGAAACGTTAAGAAAATAGTTGAGTGTGTTTTTAGGGGAAAAAAAAACAGAAAAAGAAAGGATTTAGATTAGTGGCCTAAATTCAGGGCTAGTGATAATAAAGCTATTCTAACATGAACAGATTTCTGTTAGTGCATTTTAAAAATTCCCTTTAGACTATATCAGACAATTTTTTGGTACAGAAAAGCATCATAATTGGTAGATGTTAATTGGATACCATACTGATAACTCTCTGAACTGCAGAATCTTTTAATTTTCTGGATAAAAAGTTGCAAATGGAATCAAAGTTAACTTAATCCCCACAGCTCTTTGGCAGGTTAAGAAGAAGGGATGGTCTTTGTGCCTGTTCAGCAAGGATTAAATTTGCTGAGACAGCAAAGAGGATGAGATCTTCCAATCCGTAATTTTGGTTTTGTGTATGTTCATTTTTCTCCCAATTATGATATAATGTAGTCATAAAGGTCATATACTCTAATAAACCTGCTATTTAAGTCATCTAAACTTTCTGCTGTGGAATTATGATCTCCTGTGACTAATTGATGTTGCAGTAGAATTTGATTGATTGATCCTGTTAAGTGTGATCTAATGGAGCTATGTGGAGGGCCCTTCTGGTGCTGTGCACAGAATGATCACTTTTAAGACGCATATTTCTGTCTGCCTGGTAGTGACCGACTAGTTCCAATGTCGAAGGAGTCCAGTTGTGCATTACCTGAAGAGGATGGAATATTCCAAACTTACAGGTACATGCAGATGACAGGAATTTTTCCCTTTGTTTTCAGTATTTCTCATGTGTTCCTGTTAGGTGGTCAGGGTAGCTATACTAAAAGGGAAATTTCCATAGAGTAACTTTCCTCATGCAATGTGTGAATCTTGCAGGTTTTTATATATCTTCCCCTTCAAAAGCCATGCTGGTGTTTGCTTGAGGAAGACTGGATACACTTCCTTGTGGGCCTGCTGGCATTGCTCAGTGTGCTACTCAAATAGGACCTCCAGTATTTACAGGTTTTGGCATCTCACAGTACTTTTGCACTTCTGTCTTGAGGAGTTCTGCTCCTTCTGCCGTGCTGTTGGACTACTGTGCAACAACTGACTCTGGGGTTGCTCTGCTATTTGTGCCTGGGGGCTTTGCAAATTTAGGAAGGATTTTCCAAGGGCAGTGGCGATTTTAGGTTTCCCTTTGCATTTTCTCTCCTGCAGGGTCCTTGGCCACTTTGAGAAACCTCTTTTCCTGGAACTGTGCAAGCACATGGTTTTTGTGCAATTGCATGAAGGTGAATACATCTTTCGTCCTGGGCAGCTGGATAACAGCATCTACGTTGTACAGGATGGCAAGCTGGAAGTTTGCATTCAAGAAAGTGTAAGAATAAACTGATCTGCGGTTCTTGAGATAAATCTGTTGGCACAGCATATAGGTTGGCATGAATCATTACGCATTGATTAAACTTAGACATTTGAATCATAGTGATTTAGAAAGCATTACTTCCAACCTTTCAGGACCATGATATTTGTAAAGATCAAGGTTTTTATCTGTGATCCCCCATGTCTTGGATGAGAGAGCGAAACGCAATGGTGATAAGGCATTCTGAAATGTCCTCACATACTCTGTTTGCATAGTTATTGAGGGAGGACAGGGTGCAAGACGGGCTTTGCATAGCACTGGAAACATTCTCCTTTTGGATAGTAGTTATATAAAATAGTTAAGTATACAGAGCAGGAGAGACCAAGTACACTTCGCTCCACAATATTCTAACGTGGTAGTTAGCAGGTTTGCCTGGGAGGTTGAAGATTCAGATTCACTTTTGGGTAGACAGGGAAAATAAATGATGGCTTGTTTTATGGGTGAGTTTTAAGCATTGAGTGCTAGTCCTTGTGATCCCTTCTGGCAATTTAGATTTTTTTTTTTCCCCCCTGACTGAACTTTGAGTTTAGCTTTAACACGTGAACAGTTTTGTGATGGCTGAAAATGCAGGGGGGGTTGTGTTTGTAAATTATGCCAAATTTGCTGATTTCTGTATAGGTTTGTACTTTGCTGTTCTTTGCTTTGTACTACCTCTTGACATGTAATGCCTTGATAAAGGGAGCTAATTCTGTCTCAGAGTGAAGGAGGCTTTTTTTTATTTTATTGGTTGTTACATAGCAAAGACAAGCAGTTCACATCTCCTAGACAAAACTGGCTTTTAGTTTCTTTTAATTTATCACTTTTTTTGGTGGTTTGAAACTTTGGTGGTTTGAATTAGCACATTTCCATCAGAGCAGAGAGAAAACAAGCATCCAAGTTATAATGGAGGACCATTTCTTTTAGGGCTGCTCAGAGTATCTGGGAGAATAAGAGCGAGTTAAGCTTTCTGAAATGCTCCATATATGCCAAATATGCAACTATGAGCCTGCAGTAATCTATCCTACACTTGCAGGATGGAACAGAAGTGGTTGTTAAGGAGGTGCTGGCAGGAGACAGCGTCCACAGCCTTCTCAGCATTCTTGATGTTATCACGGTAAGTTCTTGAACGTGCAGGTTTTCTGCAGTGCTGCTTTATGTCACAGAGCTTGTTGGGGGAAGTAGACTTTGAATATTGCTAGGAAAGAATCAGAATGGAAAATATTTCTTTGACCAATTCTTTTCCTCCTTCCAGGCCTTCACAGCTGTAAACTTAGTGCTGTGGTATGTAAGTTGGTTGTGAAACATGTATGCTTGACAGCGTAACACTTGCTATTTCTGATAAGCAGTAGGATTTGAATTATTCTTTTGTGGCTGGAAAACTGAGGCACGGTTTGATTTGCTCAAGGTCATAAAGCAGTCGGGAGGAGGATCAGATTAGGGCCCAAAAGTCCAGGCTTTTGCACTGCTTGATTTGTTACTTACCAAATTTATTTTTATTTAGCCTAATGAAAATAAATCTGACAGTTGTTATTACTGTAATTATACTGTGAAACCAGTTGATGGATTTAATTTTTTCCTAATATGTTAATGTTGCTGGTAACCATTGGAAGGTTGTGCTCTTTGGCAGGCAACAAGATGAGCTAAATGCTAGGTGGTCGTATTTATTGCACAAATTAGTGGTGTGGATTTTGTTTCAATTGGAATTACAGTGATGGTTTTGCTGAAATTGTCACAGTGCATCAGTTTAGGAATACCAAAATTGAAGGTGGAGAATTCATTGTTTTCGATAATACGCAAGCACTTAAAGTGCTTACTTGAAGGATTTTTGATAGTTGAGAGGATGCAGATAATCTAATCAATAAGTTGTGCATATTTGACCTTGTATCATGTTTCTCTTGTGCTTGGCTGTCTCCTTTCATTAAAAAGTACTGTTATTCTATGTGTAAGTAGTTTTAATGATTCTGTTAAGTGTTCTTTGCCACTTTTAGATGCAAGCATATATCTATATATCTGTATATATAATTTCCATAAAACCTATTGAAAGTGATAAATAATTTTTAAGCTTGGTCAAGCTTTCTTATGTAGAAAGTAATGGCACGTGAATAATTTGGACTGTACAAGTCTAGTTCGTTCTGTCAAATCCATATTAATAGCAGATTTAGAGGTATCTTTGCCCTTGTTACTTCCACCAGTAAATTTTCTTAATGATAATATTCTAAAGAGCAGGACCATCGTATAGGAACAAGAATACTAGTCATGTTCTTTTCCTATATTCTTTTTGAATAAACAAGAGGAAATCCTTCTGGTATGACAGTGGTTTGTGGTGGTTTGTGTCTTTTTGTTGTTGTTGGTTTTTTGGGGGTGTTTTTTGTTTTTTTTTTTTAAAGGGTGGTTGCCATTCATTTTGTGGTGGGGGTTTTTTGTTGTGGTGGGTTTTTTTGGTTGTTTTGGGGGGGGTGTTGGTTTTTTTTTTTAATTCTCATTCTATTTTTTTTTTTTTTCCTCTTTCTCATTAGTTATACCACTGGTAAATCAGGAACTAAGTTATTGAAAGTGTGTTGAAAAGAGTTATCGGCATGCAGAAGAGTATATAACCAAAAACTTTGCAATTTTTTTTTTTTTGCTTAAGTAACTTGTTCTCATTTATTTTTGCAACTCTATCTTTTCTCCCTTGTTTCCCAGCTTTGTGAACTGGTTGTTTTATTTCTGTTTTTCCTCTTCCTTATGTTCTTTGCTGGCTTTAGGTATAGCAGTAGCATGACAATGGGCAAGGAGAGAGAAAGTAGCATTGACCAAAATAGAGGAGACTTCTCAGTGGCATTCCAAATTAGTGAATGACTCTTAGAACTTCCTGCAGATACCATAACCTTAATTAAGTTTCGCTGTACCACCATGACATGGATCTGACATGAAGGAAGAATGTATTTAGAGAGGATTTGAGTTGTCTGAGCTGAATTTGTGATTCCCTTGACTGATTTTGTAATGCATGACATCAGCCAGCCCCCCACTAGGTTGAGAGATGTGCAAGAAAATGGAGTTTGCTGCAAGAATTGGTGATGTCTTGTTGTTGGATCTAAAAGAAAGGTCACACAAGAGGTATTTTCTAATGTAATTTTCTAATTTTTAAAATTGAAAAGTCCCCTTAGATCTACTAAATACAAAGATACCAGCTGTGACATAAGAGACTTGTTCTGTATTTCACTTATTCTGAGAACAGCTAAATGCTGCTTTCTCAAAACTTCAAGGAGAAACTGGAAGCTTTTGAATCCAAGTAGATGCTAGCCCTTTCCTGGCATTTTGGAACAATTCTGTATTGTAGTTAATCTGACTCTGAATTGATACTGCCTCAAATGTTAAAGAAGTCTCTGAACTGAACATTGTTGATGTCCATGCGAGTGTTTTCAGATGCTGTTGCTGAGTGCTCACTCAACCCATATGTGCAGTCAGATCTTTTTCCTGACCAGTGAATTTTCATTCAGAATTAAATGGGACAAATAGAGATGGCATTTGGTGCTGATTGCTAGAGCTTTGGGTTTTACTCTTCTTTTGTCCTCCATGTGGAGATGGTATTTAGAAAACTGCGAGCAGGTGGCATAGTTGGAATGAAAAAGAAGAGACTGGGAGGAATATTAATCAATTGCCAGGGACCGAGGGGAGAAAAATTAAAGTCTGAGGATTAAAAGAAGCTAAAAAAACACTGGGGTAACAGTGAGCCGCCTGCAGGGCTCAAGTCTGTTCAAATGGCAGTGGACAAGATAGATGAGTTTATAAAGAAGCAATTGATTGCTGCAGGAACTTTGGGTTGCAGCAGTGTTGCTGTAGTGTGGAGGATGGCGGGTAGGAGTGGAGGAAGACAAAATCCAAGCAATGGGAATAGGGAGAATATGCCAGATTTTGGGGTACAAAAAGAAGTTACCACTCCAGGTAGGAGAGTATAAGGCACCTGTGTCTCTTGTATCAGATTTCTTAACCAAATTCATTTGGATCTGGCCATTACCTGTCATCTGGATCCAACTACGGCTTTAGCTGTGACATTTGTCACCTACAATATTTAATTACTCCACAGCTCTTAAAACAAGACAGAAGTAAAGAGTTATCCATGTTGAGAACAAAAAGTTCTCTGTTGAAAAAGCCCTGTTTCACTACTGATTATAACTTAACTGTTCCTTGTGACCTCAGTGTGTGATTGTAAAATAGTATAATTTAAACATGGTATTCTCCGTGTGCTGCTGATTACATTATATTTGAGAGAGCTGACAATTACAGGAGCATTTCCTCTTCATGTTCTTCTGACAGCTTTTAGCATGTTCCAAAGCAGTTAGATGTGGTGGTTGGCCCTTTCAAAAGCAGGCTGCTCTCATGCAGAGATTTTGAAAAGAAAAAATTATATGCTGAAAAACTGGAGGGGTGGGCTGTTCTTTGGAGAAAAAGGCTGCTGCATTATTATCCTAAAACTGCTTTTCTGAGAAACTGTCAGCATCAGTCTATCCTCAAACAAGCACTGTTCAGAAAAAAAAAAATATCACACTTTACTGGGTAGGATGTAGACCATAGAAACATGATACACGGTGCTTATTTTGCTCTTTTGAATAACTGTTACGGAACACTATTAAACTTAATGCTTATCCTTTGTCCAGTGACTAAAGATTTAATAGATTTCCTTAGTTTTTCACTATGTATTTGGTGTAAAGATTGGTAGGAAATACAGTCGATGGCAAGTATAGCGATGTACATACTTAAAAGCAGACTATATACATGGGACCTGATGAGATGCATCCACGGGTCCTGAGGGAACTGACAGATGAAGTGTCTGAGCCACTATCCCTCATATTTGAGAAGTTGTGGTAGTCCAGTGAAGTTCCTACTGAACTGACTGGAAAAGGGGAAACATAACCCCCATTTTTAAAAAGGGAAAAAAAGAAGACCTGGGGAACTACATGCCAGTCAGTCTCACCTCTGTTCCTGTCAAGATCATGGAACAGATTCTCCTAGAAACTATGCTGAGGCACATGGGAAATGAGGAGGTGATTGGTGACAGCCAACATGGCTTCACTAGGGGCAAATAGTGCCTGACAGATTTGGTGGCCTTCTATGACTGGGTTACAGTGTTGATGGATAAGGGAAGAGCAACTCATGTCATCTACCTGGCCTTGTGCAAAGCATTTGACAGTCCCACATGACATCCTTGTCTCTAAATTGGAGACACGTGGATTTGACGGATGGACCGCTTGATGGATAAGGAATTGGCTGGATGGTCACACTCAAAGAGTTGCGGTCAACGGCTCGATGTCAAGTGGAGAGCAGTGACGAGTGGCGTTCCTCAGGGGGCGGTATTGGGACTGGTGCTGTTTAGCATCATTGTTGGTGACATGGACAGTGGGATTGAGTGAGTGCACCCTCGGCAAGTTTGCCAACAATGCCAAGCTGTGCAGTGTGGTTGACACGCTGGAGGGAAGGCATGCCATCCAGAGGGACCTTGACAGGCTTGAGAGGTGGGCCCCTGTGAACCTCATGAAGTTCAACAAGGCCAAGTGCAAGGTCCTGCCTATGGGTCAGGGCAATCCTAAGCACAAATACAGACTGGGTGGAGAATAGATTGAGAACAGCCCTGCGGAGAGGGAGTTGGGGTTACTGGTGGATGAAAAAATGGCCGGGAGCCGGCAATGTGCATTTGCAGCCCAGAAAGCCAACCGTATCCTGGGCCGCATCAAAAGCGTGACCAGCAGGTCGAGGGAGGTGATTCTCCCCTTCTACTCCCCTCTTGTGAGACCCTACCTGGAGTACAGTGTTCAGCTCTGGGGCCCCCAACATAAGAAGGACATGGATCCGCTCAAGTGGGTCCAGAGGAAGGCTGTGAAGACGATCGAGGGCTGGAGCACCTCTCCTATGAAGACAGGCTGAGAGAGTTGGGGTTGTTCAGCCTGTAGAAGAGAAGGCTCTGGGGAGACCTTATAGGAGCCTTCCAGTACCTAAAGGGGGCCTACAGGAAAGCCAGAGAGGGACTTTTCACAAGGGCATGCAGTGATAGGACAAGGGGTAATGGCTTTAAACTGAAAGAGGTTAGATTTAGATTAGATGTAAGGAAGTTCTTTACTGTGAGGGTGGTGAGGCACTGGAACAGGTTGCCCAGAGAAGTTGTGGGTGCCACAGCCCTGGGAGTGTTCAGGGCCAGGTTGGATGGGGCTTTGAGCAACACGGTCTAGTGGAAGGTGTCCCTGCCCATGGCAGGGGGGGTTGGAAGTAGGTGATCTTTAAGGTCCCTTCCAACCCAAACCATTCTATGATTCTATGAATTCCAAATGACTTCTTTGTCTAAAGCCAGGCTTTAAACTGGCCTGTAAAAGAGGAATGTTGCATTTATTTTTGGGTACAGTAAAAGCACAGAAGTGTAATTTTTAAATTTCTTTACTTAATTAAAAGAAACCCTGGAAAACTGAAGACACCTGGTAGCTTTGCATTGTAGGTCAGAGAGACGTTTAAAATTTCAAATCCCTCAGGAACTTGAAAATCAAAGCTATTAATATCATCACCAGATTTTATAAAAAGGTCAGCTGAAGTTGGTGTAATTAGGAAATTGGTTCCAATTAATTTAATTTAATTTTAGAATCTGCTTCATCGTGACTTCCAGACCAGCAAGGCAGACAGAGCTGTAGCTTTATTTTCCAGAGTGGTTATAGTTATGCAGAATATATCTTGTTTGGTTTTGCTGTGTCATTTAGGCAGAAATTCTTCTGCAGTGATTGTGTTTAGTTGTCTGATGCTCTGGAAGACTTGCAAGTTTTTTTATTTGTACTCAGCATTTAGCATCTGTGTGTTTAGTGTTTGGAAAAATTTGCCTTCTGCTGCTCAGGAGGAATGAAAGCTTCAGAAGCTGTAAGGTGACTGTTAAAGTAGAAACTCCATTTCTTCCTTAGCTCCTGCTCCATACCATGAAAGGCCTCCTTTTATCTTAGAAATATTGGATAAATCAATATTTCATGTATTAGTAAATGAATTCATGACTTACAGGTATTCTTTTCAGTAGTTACTAATGGGGTACAGGGGTGTTGCTTGGAGTCTTTTATCCAAGTGTTTGGCAGTAGATTTTTGTTCAAATCTATTCTGATTCAAGGGGGAAAAGCCTAAACCAAAGGCTTGCCGTCCAGTGTAAAAAAAAAAAATCGCTGTATTCTATCCACTTACAGTTTTATTTTTCATTGGTTTGTTAATTCTCCATCTGTTCTTCGAGCAACTTGGGATGGTCGAGGCCCAGTTTATCTCAAGTAAAAAGAAGCTGTTTGGCTTTGTCATTTGGAATATTTCATATATATATGAATATACATGAAGATATGTATATATATCTTGAAACACAAGAAGTCTGCCTGGTTTTTGTCTTATTTCATTATGTATGTAATTACTATACAGTTTTGTTTGTATTTTTCACTGAATATGTGAGTCTATGGTTGCTATTGCAGCAAATAGCTTGGTCATCAGTACAGATAAAATCAACAAAACCTCTTTTCTTTGCAGTTTTGAATAGCGGGAAGTTGAAATACTTCTGAAGCCTGGCTTTGTCTGTAATAAAACTGTAACAGAGTTGACAGACTAGCCAGTTCCCCTTAACCTGATACAGCTTCTTATAGCTCTTGTTTCTTTACCTCTGTCTCTGTATAATGCTATTGACATTGCTGGTGTGAATTCACCTGGCCATGCTGCCCTCATTACACCACCTGTAGGTCATAGAGCATAAGTTCAAGGCTTTTTTGTGGTCGGATGATGTCTGTCAAGCATATACAATATCAAAGTAGAAATCTGGGAAGGGATTGGGAAGAATTAGGTCAGATAATTGGTGGATTAAACTTGTGTCTCTGAAACTTTCTGTTAGGGTCACCCTGCTCCATATAAAACAGTTTCAGCCCGAGCAGCCATTCCATCCACTATATTGCGACTTCCAGCAAGTGCCTTTCAAGATGTCTTCCAGAAATATCCTGAAACTCTTGTTAGAGTGGTACAGGTAAGCTTTGTTGTTAAGCATAATTGGGGGGTGGGGGAGCAATCACTCTAATTTCAAAGTTACAAGGAAGACATTTTGAAGTTTGGCAGGCTCATCATCCTTTTGCAGATATGAAACTGTTGAGTATAGCTTCTTTTCAAGATTTGGACTAGTTCTGCTATTACTCTTGCTGTTAGAGCCTTAGACTTAATCATCTCAGCATTAATCATGTACAGGAAGAAATAATTCATATATATATATACACACACACACATTGAATCAGTTTCTGCATGTGATAGCCTCTCAAATCAGCCTGATCTGCACTGTAAGCTTGTTGGTCCTGGTGGAGTAGAATATGCTGGCATGGGCTCCACATCATGGTTATGCACCAACAAGGCTTCAAAATGGCTTAGAGTATGGAAAAGACTGTCACATATTCTGAAAAAGGGCAGATGTACTATCAGAAGCTGTTTGTTGAGGGGTGATGCTTTGTAAAATTCAAAAAATTCAGTCTGACGTGAATTTCCACTTCAGAAGCGATTGTCAGCATCTGAGGAAAGAGCTGTGCTTTGTATTAGTTTTAAGTTCACCTTCCCTTGCTTTGCAGGAGCTTAGACAGTTTTCAAGTGAGCACTGCAAATATGTCTTGTACATCCTGCAAGTGGATGTTAATGCAGGGACTAGTGTATTAATGATTTCAGTTTGGAGAGTTTGCCAAGTGGTGCACTGTCCCACAGGTATAATAGTCAAATGGGTGCACGTGACCTCCTGAGTCATTCTGGTCTGTCCTTTTGTTTTACTATCCCTTCTAAATCTTTTTGTCCTTGCAAACTGTTCTGGTATCTGAATGATTTATGAGTGACACATGAACCTCCTAATACTGATGGTTGAGGAGAACAGCTCATTATACCAATTTAATGTGCTTCGTGAGAGCTGATAAAAAAAGGGAGGATGGCTTAACAGTGGGAATAAGCTGCAGTGATGTCTTATGTTAGTTTAGAGTGCTTGCAGAGCAGTAGCACAGGCTCTGTATGGGGAAAGCTGGAATAAATTTTTTTTAATGAGGGGGGGAAAAATGGAAGCAAATGCTTTTATTTCAAGGCATGTTTATTATTAATGTTTACAGAAAACAAAAAGCACTATTTGGTGTTTGGGAGTAAGACTTTGGATTCTTATGCCATCAAATGATTGTGAAGTCTTTGGTAAATCACTTGAATTTATCTTTGGCTCAATTTATCAAGTGCTAAAAAGGAATTTCAGCTTAGGGTACAGTCTGTATTTTATAAACTGCCTTCAGGTAGCCTGGAACATAACTGTATCTAAATGCAAGAACAAGTGTGGGAGAATGCTAAATCCATTCCTATTGCTTGTTGATTTCCTGTTTCTAGATCATCATGGTAAGGCTGCAGAGAGTAACATTCCTCGCTTTGCACAACTACCTTGGTCTGACTACTGAGCTCTTCAATTGTGTAAGTTTGGGGTACATTTTATCTGCTCTTCCTATGCAGCCTGGCTGTGACTTGGCACAGAGAGTTTTTCCTTCTTTCAGGAGATCGTAAAGCAAGTGTTACATATTAATTTAATAATGACACTACTTGAGAAGTAAGGTGCTTGTTATAACCAGCCCATAAAATCCAGCCTATGCTGATGCCTGGGGAATTGGGGGGGGAAGCTTAAATTTCAAAAATTTGAAGAAGTGCATCACTTCAAACTAGTGTATGTGCACATACATCAGTATGTTTTAGCAGTCCCGACATTAGTTAATGATACTGAGTCACTTCTACCTATAATACTACAAAGGACATACCCTTGGTGGAGGAGGATCAGGTCAGGGAATACTTAAGCAAACTGGACATACATGACTCCACGGGCCATGATGGGATGCACCTAGGAATGCTGAGGGAGGCGGCAGATATCATTGTAAGGCTACCTTTGATAATCTTTGATTGATCACCACAACTGAGAGAAGCACCCCAGGGGTCAATACAAGGTCCAGTCCTGTTTAACATGTATGGGTGTGTGGTTTACGTTTGCCTTTTCACCTTGCTCCTTGCAGCAGAGCCAAGCCATCCCGCTCATCTCTGTGACAAGTGTAACATCTGGAGGAAGTTCAAGCAAAGCAGTAAAAAGACAAGTGTCTAATGTGTCAGAGGAAGATCGTGGAGAAAAGTTCGAAAAAGCTGCGGAAGCACTGGAAATAGGTAATGTTTCTGGAAATGTGTAGTAACTGTCCTTTGTGATGTTCTTATAATTGTGCTATTGATCAGAGGATTTTTATTTGATTAGAGTAGTTAGGGATTGTCTTAAATCAGTTTCAGGTTTGAAGTCTTTGGATAGTCCTTAGCTTTAACAGGAAATTATTACTGTGTTGTTAATGATATCAATAGGGGAGGGGGAAGGGGGGAAAAAAGTGGCTCCTCATGTTGACTTCATAGGAGGAGCTGTGAAAATTCTGCACTCTAGATACTAGCAGAAGAATTGCTGGATATGTGTAGGCTTTCAGGTTGAAGTGTCAGAATGGAAGCTAAATCTCGGAAAATAAATTGAGTTTAATTTTGCCTCTGAACCTGAAAAATTCTTTTTAATCAAATCAAAAGCAGGAAGCAGGTTTAAACAATGTTTAATGTTGGCGTTTCAAAACCTTTAACACAGCCTTTAATAAGTTTTAACAGTGGATAGTGAGAGGTTCTTGCTGTCAATGAAATTTATTTTATTAGGGAGTACCTTGTGTATATTTGTAAAGCTTTTTGTTTCTGTATTTCAGATACGTTGAAGCTTTCTGGTACAGAAAACTCTGAGCATGTTTTCAGGAGAAGCCTTTCTTCACCTCCCTACGCAGGGTCTGCAGAGACTTCTAGTAAGTAGTGCTCGGCAAAATTGTGGGAAATATGTAATGTACCTGTCATATGGGGGAAGACATGTACTCTTTGCAGCATTGGGTTAGATAAGCTTCCTGTTTATGTTAGATAATCATCTTGCAGTAGTACTGCTTCCTAACTCATTTGTCAAAAATTTACTTTCTGAAGTAACAAATGGACTGTTACCTAAGAGAGCGTTCCCTTGCTGTCTTTATTAGCAATGGGGAACATACAGTACTTTGGCTACTGAGAGACCTGCAAATGAAGAGTTTTATTCATTGATATAACTGCAACAAAGTGACTTATGATGATATGCTGTCATCTTTCATATGAAAGATGACACATGATTCTTGCTTGGCTGATTGTCCCGAAGAGCATGTTACATGGCTTTGTTGCTTTTAGAGGAATGTTTTTTGAGTGGGTAATAAAAGTGATTTATCATTGAATGCTCTGATGAGACATTTATGGGGCTGAGCTGTTTTGATGCTACACTATTCATTTTGGTGAACTTCAGTCATCTCCACTGTAGACATCTTCCTCTGAGCCAGTTGTTAAGGTTAGCTTTATGTTCAAGGTAGAAACACTGGAACTTCTTGGGTGAATCACAGAAGGAAGGCATCTGTCTTCCCTTAGCTGAGTACCAAACTAACCATCTTGAGGTAGTTGTAAGGTCATGCTTAGATACTGTAGTCGTTATAAAGATATTGTTAATAGAGAAGTCATATAAAGTTTAATTGGTGGAATAAAGGTATCCTGGATACATTAGAAGATACATGTATTGCTTCTGTTGACTATGAAATAGCTTAAGAGATAAGAACATACTATGGGGGGTTAGAGAGTATGGAGACAAGGAGAAAGGAGGGAGACAGGCTGAGGGAGCCCTCAGCGTTGAGGGCTTTCCCCAAGATAAGGTTTCTAACACTTGTTGCTATCAAGTTAAGTTGGTGGTATGTAGAGAAGAGAAGAATGGGTAGTTACTTCATTTTTAACAAGAGAGCTGATTCACTTCCCTCTTCAATTTCTGCTGTGCAAATGTACAATGTCCCAGTTAAATTTTTTCATAATTTCCATGTTACTGTCCAGAGGGATGGATGTGACAGAGAAGTAGGATTTTGGCTAGTGATAAGTAGATCATCTTTCTGAACCAGGGAAACAAATTAAGGGAAAATACTGAACTGAACCATGTAAGACTTGGATTTATTTTTGTACCTGTTAGGTTGTTCTGCACTATGCATTATAAAATGTACTAGCAGACTTAATTCAGTGGTGAATTAAGTAATGTTTACTCTGAACATAGCCATTTTTCCCCCAGGTAGATAAAACAGTTGAGTGAGGTCTGCCTATGCAGCCTTGTAACACCTCTTAAGGTAGAGTCCGTACATGTTCTAAGAAGCTTTTATGTGGAAGGATCCCTGCATACTTAACAGTGAATATGTCCATTTGTCCTTCTTGTCTCCTTTTATGTGTCCTGAGAGTTATGTCAGGGTACACAGAGCTTAGCAGAGAGAGAAAATTAATTTTTACTGACAGAAGAAGCATATCTAATTGGGTAATTATGATTTGCCTCAGTTAACAGAGCTGATTTCTGCTCACTGCACTGAGGTTACAGTCACTGTTTAGCTTGCATGGAAAATATCTTGATGTTTGTAATGAGAAGATCAAGATCTTGCTTCAGATTCTATTCCACTACCTTACTGTGTGTTCAGACTCCATGGGGATATTGATTATGTTTATTATTGATTCAGAGAAAAGAGAACTGTCTGTTATTAGAGTCACACAGGTGCTATTATGTCAGTGTCTCTTTGATTTCCTTGGCTCATTAGAATTAACAAAAACTGCAAACAATTACTTTGGGGAAAACATTTTTTCCTCAGTTGCTCCTGGGGTTGGGGTGTAATTTGTTCTTCTATTTTTTGTATAGCTATCTAACTTGAAATGTAGCAGTTGTGGAGATGAGGAAATACAACCCTGCCAACTTAGGCTAGTCTACTTTTAAAGTATACTAACCCTTTTTTTGGAGAAAGATGTAATTAAGTCATGTGGAGTATCTGGGCTGGTGGATAGAAGAATTAGAAGAACGAAATAAAACAACAGGATCTTTTGTGTGTGATAACTTCAGTTTTATTGTTCCTAGAAGTGAGTGTTCCCAACTTAGAATTATCTTTTATTGGTTGGTTTGTTGGGTTTTTTTTTATCAAGAGTAAAGAGAAGCTGCTTTTCCTTCTTCAAAACTGGAGCCATGACCCTACAGCATACATGCAGGAGCACAGGACCACCTGCATTAGGAAAAGCAGGTAGCTCAGTAAGCGAGTACTTGGAAGGAAAGAGGCGGCTGAAATACTGTGAGGGGCTATGTCAGTTGCCCCTGCACTGCACTGTTTTTGCAGTGACTTCCATATCAGCAGTGTGTGGGATACCAGCGAGCATGTGTTCGTCAAACAGGATTGCATTCCACTCCTGAGTTTCCCACTGCCTTCTGTTCTTTTGACTCAATGGTTCTAGTTAAAGCTTGTTCTGCTGTATCCTTTCTAACTCCCATTTGAGCAACAAGACAGTTTAATTAATCACTGTGTGGGAAGCTTATATCTATGACTGAGATGAAGACTTCTACTTTGAATAGAAGTCTAGTAGACATAAGCTTTCACGCTTAGAATGCTGCCTCTTTTTTCCCTCTCTGATTTTTTTAATATGCAGAGCTATGTAGAGGATGCTTTTCTTGCCTACATACCCATTATCAGATTATTTAGGTTTAACCTGAGAAGTGTGTGTTTAGATTTAAAACGCACTTGGTGTACTGGGGCTTAGTAATTATGCTGATACTGTGATTTGTGGGGCAGTATAATTGACAGGTAGTCAAATCAGCCCATATGGAGTTCCATGCTGCTATTTCTATTAGCCCAGCTTTTTTTTGTTTATAACTAATTTAGGGTCTTTAATGTTGCAGTGTGTATGAAATTCAGTTAGTAGCATCAACAGCTTTTTTCTTCCCTTTTTTTTTTTTTTTTTTTTCCTTATGTTTTGTAAATTTTGTTGATGACAATCTTTGGGTCAACTTGTTGGGTTTCTTGTTTGGAGGCTGATCACTAAATGATGTTATGACCTCAGTGGCAGATGTGGATTTACTACATGCAAAGATTTGTTTGTATTTGTAGATGACATGGAAGAGAGTACTCTGAGGCAGATCTGAATCTTTGGGACAGTAGGATTCTTTCCTTGTACTAGCTGGGGTGGACATAGGAGTCAAGCTCCTTCAGAAGTAAAATAATTGTATTTTTAAAATTAAATTTATAGATAGCCCTTCATGGAAGGGTAGTATTTTCACATGATCATATGTCACAAGGGTGTAAATATGGGGCAGCTCCATGTTTCCAAAAGCCAACTTTCCAAAGATCAGGGCAATCCTGGGCAAACTCAAGTGTGTATGTGTATAGAGGTGGAGGGAGATGGGGGAGGAATTCAGAATTAAAAATTTGAGCCCTTTCTGAGTTCATGAGGTAACAAAATTCAACAGTCAAGAAAGATAATTGCTTTTCCTAAGGGCCCATCCTATTTTTGAGCAGCAATTTGTATTTAAAAAAACAAAAGTTTAAGAACAATGTAGTAACAGGAGAAAGGCATAAGGGAGAAAATTTAAACTTTTCTGAATACAGTATATCTTTGAGATCTATTAGGCATAGAAATATGATAGAAGTGATTATAGGTTTATTTGTTAAAGGAAATTGCAATCTCTGCATGATTCTTAAACTCATCTGTAAATCATCAGGCTGATATGTGGGTGTCCTATTCAAGGTAATTAAATAGGAAGCGTTTCCCAGTTATGTTTTGTGTTATTGATTATCTCAGATAAGTTCCTGGAAGGTGGATGGGACAGCCAAGGAGCTAATATAATTAAGATGTATTAAATTTGGGAAGTAAGGAATAGAAGTTGTCAGTGACTTCAAATTCGTGCATTAAATAAGTGAAACCTGTAAGGGAATTCCTTATGTATCTCTCAGCACATGATGTGCTTTGAAAATTTGGACAAGTTGTAGAAAAGGTCTGAAATTATTTTAGGCATTGGGGGAAAGCGCTTTCTATGGAGAAACTTTTAAGAAGTTGCTGATCATAATATTCTCCCTATGAAAGCTCTTGCAATATATTGGGTACAAAAAAAGTTCTTTTGTTTGGTGGAGAAAAGTTTAATAGGAATCATTTCCTGAAAACAATGAGGAAAAACTGTTTAGTGGATTTGCCTCTTCCTGTTAATCTTCAGATCCAAATGACTCTGTTTTGTTTACCCTAAAATAATTATTGTACTCTGTACAACAGTGGATATGGGAATTTTGGGATGTACTGCATACAGGAGCTCAACTGAGAAGATTTAAAGTTCCCATCAGATCTTCCAGGTCAAAAGGAACTAGGAAATAAAGAAGAATATGAGGATGCCACTTTCTATTTTATCCTCAGCTTCAGAAATGAAAAAACCAAAAAACCAAACAAATAAAAAGTTGCCTGACTTCGTGTACTATCTGCTATTTCTGAGAAACTGTAATAAAGGAGTTGCTTAAAAAAAATTTTTTTAATTGTTTGTAGATAATTCCAGCAGTGGAAAGTCAGACATGGACATGGCGTATGAAAGAGCCAGAGTGCACTTTGGCTCGGAGGACACTGCCAGCAGTCCTGTTGTGGGCAAGGTAGGTCTCTTCCTTTGGAGATTCTGGCATGTTTCTTGCATTGTACTTCCTTACATCATTATTCTTTGAGTAATGTAAATGTTTTCTCCCTTACTTTGAAATGCTGCCCTTGCAACTCTGTACAAGTTGTGGTATTTGGTCATCTTGTATTGGTGTGTTTTAACATACAGTTGTTTCAGTAGATTTTGGTGACTGTTTAGGCTTTTTAGTGCAGATCTTGAAACTTGGTGGAAATTCCCTTGGCAAGTAATGGGAAAGCACTGCTGCAACTTTTTGATTTTAGGTATTGCCTTCCTCTGACTCATGAAAAGGATTATTTGGAAAGGTGAATTTGTCAGACCATGCTTTATTTGTGAGAATTACTTTGCAGCAAGGAATTAAAAACTTGTATCAGCATGTGAACTTCCTGTAGGTTTTCAGTCATGATTTATAAATCTTTATCTTTTTGTGGCCTGCTTTTTACGAATACTGACCTGCAATTTAAGAGCACAAAAATGCTCTTGAATTGTAAAATTGCAAACCAAAATCTGAAGAGAAACTGGCTCAGTGTGACCTTGACAGACATTTTATTTTTTTCCTCCATCTTCATATATAGTGTTGATCAAGTTTTACTTCTATCAAGCTGGCAGCTGCCCAGTTTCTGAAAAGTCTCTTGTTCTTCCCTTTTGCAAGCTGTGATGAGTAACATTGTTTGACTTGAGTGTCAAGCTTTGCAGAAAAATACAAGGATAATGAAGTTAGCAAGCTGTTGCTTTTTTGGAAACATAGCTTTTTTTTGCAGGCCACCAGTTGTGGTGGATAAAGAACACAGATGATATGGCAAGTTTTTGCTGGGTAGGTGCCAATTATAACATTTAAACCAATACTTGTTGTGTATCTGTTCTTTGCAGTCGATATTGAAGAAGACTGTGACGGTGACAGAAACTCCTTCAGCAGTTTTCCATTATAGTGCTGTTCAAGATTCCTGTAATAGCAAACATATTGATGCCATCGTCGAAGCAGCAAAGAAAGACCTTTCAACCTTGATGAAACTTGATGTAAGTTATTGCAGGAAGAAATGGCTTTGTTTTTGCTTTTTATGTCGTTCTGCCAGGCACTAAAAAGTAAATTGTCTCCCTAGTATACTGTAGACTAGCTGAATATGTTATTCTCTAGTCTGTTGAAGTTAGCAGCAGGACTGAAATAAATCTGAATTATTCTGCCATATGAGAAGACCATACTGAAATACACTGTGTGAATCTTTTCTCACGGTGTACAGATTTATCCATGTGAGAAGTAAACGTGTAATTTCTGCCGCCTTGTAATTTCATGGTCTCGCATACTGTGTGAAGAAGTTATGTAAAGGCGTTCAGGTGATTGCTGAATCTATTAATCCTGTTGGCATAGCATCTGAGTGCCTCGTTTGGTTTTTGGAGCTGAATCTCTGTATTTGGCCAATGGCTATGAGTACATCTCACAGCTGAGTGACTGTTCCATGTCCATTCCAAGTTAAACGCTTGGTGCCCTCACAGTCATCATTATTGAGCTCAGCCCCTGCTTATCACCTTCATGTTGTAAAAAGGAATTAAAATGTTTGTTTTCATCATTCTTACGATTCCAGCTACATTTCGTTACAGAGGTGTAGCTGTTCATGCAGCTAGTCAGACAATTTGGGAAAATTGTACTAAATTGTCTAAATCAGTCACAGATAGCCAAGTTTTATTACAGCATATATTTCAATAACTCAAGTCTGCTGATGCTGCCAGAGACCTGGGTGCAGCTGCTGCCGCTTCTGCCTTTGCTTTAAGAGCTCTCACCAAATGACACATGCTAGAACTTAAAAAATTTTACTTTTGGTTCTTAACATTCCCTGCTGACTTCCAAATTATTCCCCTTGCAACTTCAAAATCTTGGTCATGATCTTACAGCTACCAGTAGTGAGGCTCGAGATACATGTTCTATGTTGTCACTGATTTGATGAAGGGGTGCAGTACTGTCTGTTAGTCTTCAGGAGTCTTAACTGTCTTGTTACGTTAATTTTAATTTTTTTCAGGCATTTATATCCTCATGAAAAGCTACAGATTATTTTAGGAGAAATTCTTGTTACAGATACTTTCTTCTGTTCTGTTCAGCCTTCTGTTCTTGATAGAACTGGCCTCAGATGCCACATGTGACAAAAGTTTGTATCCAATATACAACTGATGTCTTCCTTTTTAGACCTATCGGATCATGAGCAGAAATTCCAAAATCACTGAAGCTACTGATTACAGTACTTTTTTTTTTTTTTATCTAGAATAAATTTCTCGGTAATTAACAAGTAAACAGATTAGCCTTAACTCTAACTGGAACAGTATCCCTAAAATGCAGCATCTAATAAGCAGTGTTTTTAACATGAAGATCTAAATAATAATGAAATAAGGTAGGCTTTTCAATCTTTGATATTATAGCAACTCAGTTTTTCACAAGCAAATAAGAATCTGATGGAATGTAGCCAAATGCTAGAAATCTCATTTAAAGGTCAATGTTAATTTTTTTCTATGCAGGATACCAGAAGTTGATTGTTCTACAGGCAATGGAAGAAAAATCTTATTGTGTTTAAAATGTGTTCAATACTACTTACATAAGGGAAGAAAATGAATTCTGTGAGCTCTTCTCTTAAAAAAAAATTGGCTCAGATCTTTTATTTTTTAGCTGACTTGAGGCATTTTAAGTTGTCATTTTTCAGAACAGCCAATCAGTGTGAGTGAAATCAAGATATTTTAATGATGGTGGTAAGGGGTTTTTTTGGATGTTTGGTGGTTGTTTTTTTTCATGAGGCTGTAAGAGAGAGAGAGGAGGGGATAATTTACTATAGGAGAAAGGCAGTATTATTTCAAATGACCTTTAGGTATCTGACTTCAGAATTAAGATTTTCTTTTTTGTTTTGTTTTAAATAACTTGAATTCCTTGGATCTCTGTCAGGAAAGGTTTTCAATCTCATACAACTTTTACATGTTTTCAGCTTTATCTGCAGTTATGAGAGTTAATGTTGCAGGGCATATCTTCTGCATGAGTTATAAGGGAATTGCCTTTGACAAAAAAAAATTATTTGTCCCAGTTAATTACTAATTTTTTTATTGTTTATAAGTGGTTTGTGCTTTCACTACTACATCATAAACCGCTGCTAATTTATTATCTATTATAGTAACACAAAAAAGGAAACTTGCTATGAAATGGATATTGTTGTGTTAGCAACTTCTTTTTCTAAAATCTAGTGGCTGGAGGGGATCCGTGCAAAGTTATTTAGCTCAAATCCTGTAACTATGCAATGCTGAATTTGGGTTTGCTGGTCTTGCCCATTCAAGAGAGAAGGTACTAGACAGGATAGATCTTGTCTGTGATCTTGTTTGGTAACTCCTTTATTGCTTAATCAGAGTAGTAATAGCACAGAAAAGTAGGATTTCAAGGACTGCTTGGAGGTCATTCAGTCTCTTTTCATGGCCAAGGCAGAATCAAATATTGCTATTAAGAAATAAGTCATTTCTGGCAGGTTTTTGACTAAGCTGTTCTTAAAGATCTCCAATGATGAGGACTTCACAGTTTTGTGTGCAATCTATGCCAATACTTAAGTAGCCTTAGACATGAAGAAAATCTTTGCAGCCATTTTTGTTAGAGCTAATGCAGCCAGAAAAAGCTGTTGATAAGTAGAGCTCATTAGGAAACTCGTATCCCCTTACTATGAGATACTTTCATAGTTAGAACTTCGTCTTTAAGAATAGGTAATACAATCATAAATGTACAAATATAGAAAAAAATCATAGAAATTAGTTGAGTTGATATTGCTGAACTGAAATATTTTGACAGGTGCTTGTCAGGTTCTTTGGGTTGGATATGTTCCCTTGAAACAGACTGGTTTCAATAAAACTAATTTTTGATGAAAATCTGTTCTTTTTATCAGCTGTAGGTGTAAAGAATAACTCTGATTGTTTCACTTGCTCTATTTTTTCAACCAAAAATGAAAAGAGAAAAACTTGGCATAAGAATTACAATGGTAAAATGTTTACATCTCTGCTATATTGTTTTCCTGCTGCAATAAGGTAAATGACTGTGGGCAGATTCTGCTATGCTGCTTGTACTGAATTGTCTCTTACTGTGCATGCAGCTCTCTTGCTTTTAGTGGTTCTACCTCCATGGCAAAATACTGGACTGTCATGGTTTAACCCCAGCCAGCAACTAACCATGAGGCAGCAGCTCACTCACTTCCCCCCCACCCAGTGGGATGGGGGAGAGAATCGGGGAGAAAAAGTAAAACTCGTGGGTTGAGATAAGAACAGCTTGTTTAACAGAACAGAAAGGAAGAAAAGAATAATTATAATAACAACAATAAAATGACAATAATAATAAAAGAATTGGAATATACAAAACAAGCGATGCACAATAATTGCTCACCACTCACTGACTGATGCCCAGTTAGTTCCCAAGCAGCGATCCGTGCCCCAGGCCAAGTCCACCCAGTTTATATACTGGGCATGACATCACATGGTATGGAATACGCCTTTGGCCAGTTTGGGTCAGCTGTCCTGGCTGTGTCCCCTCCCACCTTCTTGTGCCCCTCCAGCCTTCTGGCTGGCTGGGCATGAGAAGCTGAAAAATCCTTGACTTGGTATAAACACGACTTAGCAACAACTGAAAACATCAGTGTGTTATCAACATTCTTCTCATACTGAATCCAAAACATAACACTATACCAGCTACTAGAAAGAAAATTAACTCTATCTCAGCCAAAACCAGGACATGGACACAGTAGTGTCTGGCTTTGCCTTGCAAGGGTTAAGCTGCAAGACACCAGGACTGCACTGTCATTCGTTAGCATAATGCAAGAATCCCGTAATTGAGCCTGGGTTTTTGCCTCTACCCATTTGGATCATGATAATAAAATGTTGAGCTTCTGAAGATTTTCTGGTTTGCATAAAAGTTTTGCCAAAGCAAAGGTGTCCTGAAGCATTAGGGTTTGATGCTGACTGCATGTGGGACATCCAACTGTATGGGCACTTCTTGGAAAGAAAATTCTCTCCATGCCTTTTGGTTGTCTGTGCTATGTACTCGGGATTATGGTGGTGACCGGCTTTGGAGCTGGAAAGGAATCTTTTGATCAGCTGATGCACTTAACCAGATCAGCTCCTTGCCATTGCAAGGGTTTGGGGTTGAGTCCAAACTGAGGGCAGGCTTTTGGAAAGATCCTCCCTCCCATGTGCTCATCAGTCAGGAGAGACATTCCCGCTCTCCTGTGCAATCCACATGTGCATGCACACAAGAATTCATTGCTTTGGGGAAGCTTTTGGTCTACAGTGTGTATGAAAATCTGCTAGGCATGCACAGCACAGCTGAGCTGTGTGACCAGGGAAGGGCTGTAATAAAGCAAGTGTTAGATCATCTTCTCCAGTTCCTCCATGATGTAGACAGTCTCCTCTAGTTTCACCTTCTTTTGAAAATAACTTCATATTTCATGATTTTCATGCCAGCTGATATAGGTCTCTTTTCGTTATAGACCCTTAAAAGAGTCTGGGGGCAAAATTGACAAGTATAAAATCCTTAAGAATCTAAATCTGATCAATTGAGATTAAACCTTTTTTTTTCTTCTGAAAGAAATCTCTGTTGGGTACAAAAATATAAAAATCATGCACCATATTTTTAAGAGATTCAAGTACTTATCTTTTAGTAATTATTATTTTTATTTGGATGCTTCCTCACATTCCTGGATCTTTACATGTGCACAGACAAGTAAATTGTACCCCCAACCCCTTTTGTCTCCAGGATCCTTCGTTGTTGAATGGCAAAGTGACACTGCATCAGGTTACTGCTGGGACTGTGCTGTCAAGGCAAGGAGATCAGGTGAGCGGGCGTCATCTGAGAGTAGAGAGAACATAAGTCTGGCTCAGTCTTTGCCCCCCACCATAAGGTATTTATACACATTGATGATAAATAAAAAATCCCCACCTGACCATTCCCAAGTCTTCTCTTCTCAAGGTGAAATAATCCCAGCTCTAAGCCTTTCTACACCCATGGAGTAGTAATGTAGCCAGAGCAGAAATCTGGTACCTGTCTGTTTTCAGCTCTCATGTACCTTCATGATAAGGTATGGAGTATCATACCTCCATCCTTCCTGAGGAGGTACGGAGACGGGGTAGCCTTTTTTCATGCCCTGCGCTGCAGGCTTTCGGTGATGTCACTCAGTTGCAGTGAAGTATTTTTTTCCGCCCATACAATAGAAATCCAGTGTTACTTGTTTATAGCAAGGTATATTTAGGATATAATGAGATTCATTTATAATAATACTGTGTAAATAGACAAGCTTATGCAAAGCAGATGAGGGGCAGCTCCAATAACAGTGCTGCTGCATTCTGCTCTGCTGAACTGCGATGTCCCTCATCACGGTGCTGTGATTACCCCATTATCTCCATTTGCAATTCTGTTTTTATTTCTTGAGATCTTATAGATGCAGCCTTTATTTTTCATAACCATACAAAGAGAAACACATTTTTCAATATTGTGGCTGCTTAGTTTTAAATATTCATAGCCTGCTTTTAATAATTCACTATTGTGTCTTATCACCTAATTGTTCAAAAACTATAGGGAGGTTTCTGGAAGATGGATTGGTCATGATAGTACTGTCACTATGATAATTGCTTTTAAAATCTTTGGGAATTTTATTGAGCTCTTTCTCCATTTTCGCCAGGATGTTAATGTTTGCTTTGTGGTCTCGGGGATGCTTCACGTGTACCAACGGAAGATAGACTCAGAGGAGGACACTTGTCTGTTCATTACCCATCCAGGAGAACTCGTAGGTCAGCTTGCTGTCCTGACTGGGGAACCACTGATTTTCACCATCAAGGCCAATCGAGACTGCAGCTTCCTGTCTATTTCCAAGTCTCATTTCTATGAGTGAGTTCTGCCATGAAAATATATATTGATTTTTTTTATTATTTTTATTTTTTTTATGGCCCTTTTGAACAAATGTGAGTGGTGGATGTATGTGTGGCGTAGTACTGCTACAATACATCCCGCAGCAAACCATATAGCTTATGTGAGGGTTTTGAGCACCCAGATGAGCTCTGACCCATCTAGCGTATGGCTTTATCTCCAGCAAGAAGTAATGCAGGGGATATGGTAATATTAAATAAACTCCTATATTCCAGGTTTACAGAGCACTTAACCCAATGGGGTGTGATTTATGACCCAAGACTCATACTTCATAATCCAAATAAAAAAGTCTGGCCAGAGCCTGTGCTTTGCTGAGTGAAGTGTTTCTTTGCCAGGCCCTTTCTCTTAGATTCATTATTCCTTTTTGCTGGAGAACCACCCCAGTTCTGTTTCCAAATACAGTCCAGGCTGTTGGGTGTGTTATGAATGATTGGTCTTGGTGTAACTGTAGGTTTTCAATGCTCACTAATAGAATAGGTCAAACAATAATGTCTCTGTGCAAGACAGGTTCCTTCCTGGACATTGGAAGTAGTACATGACTTATGACTTTAAAGCTTAAAGGGGGATATAGGTATTTCTTAATTAAAAGACCAATATGATGACTGTGGTCAGCTTCATTGTCCAGTATTAATGATTAATGCCCTTGATTTATTCCACGATCCTATTGTTAAGACTTACCATTAGTTCACACACATAATTTGTGCCAAATACCTCTATTTCCTTTTCTAAACTCCTTTTTCAACTTCTGCATGCATGTGCCATCAGTCCTGTGTTATGTGTAGGACTCTTTGATGTTGTGTTTTCTAGGCCACTATTATGTTGTGTATTTCTGCCTACTTCTTACTTTCTAAGTAATTCGAATTGTTTGTATTCCTAATGAACTCTATCACAGAATCTTATTCTGTGATTTTTGTTTTTTCACCTCAGGCAAAAGGCTGTATGCTATAAAACTGAACACACTGTTCTCAGCAGTGTACTTGGTTGATTAGCTGTGTTTTTCCAAGTCTGTGCGGTGGATGTCAACTCTTTGACCTAGTTTCTGATAGATGCTCCCCACGTGCCATTCCATGCGGTATCAGATCTATTTCTTCTAAGCTCCTGCTTTTTCCTTCTTTCTTCTTCTACTGTTGTTTTCCTACTTGTTTCTGACTTTAAATTTCATTATGTCATTTCAGCCAACCAGGCAGATTCCACCTTTTTCTCCTCTTTTTTTCGTTTTGATACTCAGTCCTGGATTAACTCTCTCATTTGCTTGAGCTCATTTTCCTGAGTTTTCTCTCAAGAATCGAGTTGTCTCTTGTTTATTCCAACTTACCTTTTTGCTTCCATTAACCCCTTACCAGTCAGTGATCTCAAATCCATCAGTGTATCAGCTCTATATCGTTTTTGGGACCTTTCCAAATCTTTCTTTTTCTCCTTTAAAAGGTCTATTGCCATTTCTCTGCATTTTATGAGCTCTGTGATCTTCCAGCATTCTATCTTCACAATTTCTCCTGAAACCCAAGCTTTATATCAATTCTAACTCCTGCTCCTATATTTAAAGGTGTCATTGTAAAAAGTCTTTGAAAAGCATGAGGTTTCTTCAAGTTTGTTCGTTTTTGCTTTGAACTCTGAGAAAGAAAAACTTGTTGATAAAATTAGAAGTAAGTTTTATTTTCCACTTTTGTGCCAAATTCAGTGCTCATAATCCTACAATGTTAGGTTTTCTCTTTTGCTCAGAATCTCACAGCAATGACTTTTTTTTTTTTTTTAAATCTTAATTACTAACCAGAAGAAATTTGACAAGAACCTTCATTATTCTCCAAAATTCCTTTCTTCTTTTCTTGTCAAATATGTTACTCTTTTTCTTTGAGCTGCCCTGGGACATTGTATGTGGGGGTTTTTTCAATAATTAAGGAGAGAGCGAAGCAGAAAGAACATGGTCAATAGTTGCCATTAGGCAAAGAGCACAGTAATGGAAGTAGCCCAGGGTTTAGAATTGCCTGTTGGCTGTTGGACAACAGATTAAATCATTTTCACTGAAACTTTGGGGCAGGAGCCTTTTATGTGGTACTAACATGACTAAATAACTATCTGTAAATGTAGAGTTTCAAGTATAGGGGTGACACAAGCTAATTATATAGTATATACTTTAAATGCTTTGCTGTTTTGCTGAACTGATGTACTAAGTGTGCAGTGCCTACGCTGCAACTGTTGGTGTCTCCTGACGAACAGTGTAATCAAGTTGTCACCAGACTCTCTTGAGGGAATATGTTCAGGTTCTGCAGTACTAGGGACTCTCACATTTTCTGCTTCAGTAAATTTCACAGTTTGGAGTCTTAATCATGGGCGCCTGCCAGAGAAGCAGGAATGCTTTGATTTTTATTTGGTATTGCCAGCCAAGCTGAATATCAAATTGCATCCACATCCACAAGAATATCTGCCTAAGTTCCAAGCTTTCACAGACACTAGTTTAGCCCTATCATAACTATATTTGGTGAGCTTTCTAATAAAGAATCCTCAGGATACCTTCAGAAACAGGTTTCTGTAGTACAGAGGCTTGGTTTTTAATTTTTTCCAGTGCCAGGCATGTGCCAAGCAGAAGAGCAAAGATGAAGATGCCCAAGTGAGAGGAAGGAAACCTGGTTGATAATGGGGGAGGGAAGGGGAAATCAGCTTTCCTTTTCTTGTGCACAAGGGTGGGCTTTTACCTTCCATGCTAATACTCTTGTAGAAGCTGTATAGCACTCAGTGAAATAACAGAGCGCTCCAGATAGAAATAAAAGCAGCCCGTTAGTAGTTTATGTTTTGAATGCATTAAGTATTAAGATACATATCTTGAGGGAGGAAGAGGAATAAATGGCTTTTATTGATTACAGCAGACCTCCTGTGTGGGAGGAGACTCTGAGGGCTCACTAAGCAAGTAGAATAAAAACAATTAGCTAAACCATCCAGGAGTTTTCAGGGGGTTTATTTAATTTTTAGATCAGCTGAGAAGGGGGATAGGGCTGGGTGTTTTGCATGTGTTGAGGGATTAGTGTTGTCTGTTTATTAGTGCTTATCCTGGGGTGCCTCTTTCAGCTCTTTGTCCTTTGCTCCAAGTTACGTTAGTGTGGTAGAGTTTCCGTAAGATAACATGTTGTTTTCATGTGCAATAATAGCTTATCAGAACCAAAGCAGTCTATAGGTATCTTGGGTAGGAGATGGTGGGGGGCACAGAAACCTCAGGGCAAGAGAAGAGGGGCAGGAGAGGAAAGCTGTCCTGTTTTTTCATAATCCTGTTTTGATGGCTGGATTGTAAACCGTGCTAAATGTAAGAGTTGGTGTTCGGTTTAATTTGCCTAGTAGCGCATATGAGTGCAGGGATACAAGAGTGATGGGTTCAATATGGAATAGGAATATACGTCTACGAATCCCTTCCATTTCAATTTCAGGGATTTGGCTGAAGAAATTACAAGCTTCGTTATTGTGAAAAGTAGTAACTGGAGGCATTGGGTAAGGAGAGTAGATAAACATGCAAGCTCCCTGCAGTGCCCTGTGTGCTGCATGTGACCTGTAGTCACTGTCAGCTCTGGGTCTCTTGCTGCACCTATAGGGCTAATGAATGAGAGATCTGATGTTTTAGAAACTTTAGGGCAGTTTCTGTACTACATCCAGGCAGTAAAGAGCTGCTGGTGAGTCTGCTTTTGCCATCACATTCCAGGATTATGGATTTCTACTGGGGCTTTCTCTGATTTCTGCCAGGCTATAGTGGTCCATGAGGAACCGTACTTCAGTTAGGGAACAAAGACTGACAACGCTCCTTCCATGCCTTTCTCTCCTCCTCTCTGTTTTTTAGGGTGCGAGGTTAGATACAAAGGTCACATGATTTGTGCTTAGTGAGAGTTCCCACATACGCAGGGTCTCCTAAGTAGATTTTCTTATGGCAGCCTGGTATCTTCATTGTAAAGGGAACATTGATGCAGAAAACATACCAAGTATTTATCACTTTCTTTTTCTTTATTTCTGTCCATGTGTGGCTTTAATGTAGCTCCCTCATCTCTATCTGCGTGCACTTCACATACCAGGTCTGCATGCACTTACCTACTTCTTTATGAATTGTGCTATCTCTTGTGAAATAACTATTTTTTGTAGTCTGCCATCAATTGCTCTTGATGCTGCACAGGAACAGAAGAGATAAGATGTCCTAACAGGTACACCATCTGGAGATGTGCATGATCAGTTCACTCCTGTGGACTAGGGCTTCAGTAAGAATTTGAGTGCTTAGTAAGTGACAGGATACAGTGAATTTTAGTCTAAAAAGAATGAAAAATAAGACATTCATGAGCAGTTATCAGGTGTGTGAGAGCGATTTCACTCAGGCCTCACAGTTAGTGTCGAGTTTGCAGTTATCCCTGGCTAGAACATCCTCAAAGCTTTTCAGTTTGAGAAAAGTATTGAATTACATGGTATCTTTATTACTAGAGACTTTTAAGCACCACTCAAAAGATTCAGTGTGAAGATCAGCTTTATTAGAAGATGTTTCACTTCTTTGTGGCCTTTGCAACAGGGAAAAGGGAACATTTGAAATACAGAGTAGGTCTCTTATTTTTAAGAGCATCAGACTTTACATATAACGTGGTTCTGACCTGATATAAAACCTAGGGGAAACTGTGAGCATGTGCACGTGTGAGAGACTGAGAGGTGCAGAATGGCAGGAAGGGATAATCTTCTGGACAGTGTGAACATTTCCCTCAGTCATAAGAGACCTGGGTAAAGGGGAGGTTGGGAGGGTGGATCATAAACAAGAGCTAGCATGGGTCCCATCCATCCCGCTGTTCTCTTAAAGAAGAGAATTGGGCCAGACAGCAGGACTAGCTAGCATCCTACTAGCATAGTCCTGCTGCTACTAGGACAGTGCTGATTTTGAGTGACATTTAATTTGGGCTAGGTTGGAAGGTTGGCCGGCCCCATACTTGGTCAAATTATCACTGATGTAGTGTGGTTGTGGCAATAGTGGGAGTGTGTGTATCACTAACTGCTGAATTAATGTCTGCCCAGTTGCATTGGGATGTTGCGCCTGTGCATACCTATTCCTATTTTGGGGAAGTACTTCAATAACACTTTTTTTTTTTCTAGGATAATGCGGGAGCAGCCAAGCGTAGTTCTTGGTGTGGCCCACACTGTTGTGAAGAGAATGTCCCCGTTTGTTAGGCAAATTGACTTTGCCCTGGATTGGATGGAGGTTGAGGCTGGACGAGCTGTTTACAGGTGAGATGTGGACAAAATTGTATGTTGTCTGTTGAATATTTTAAGTTTTCATAGTTAAGGAGCTGTGCTCCCTTGGTGATATATAGAATAAGAAACTCATGGGACTAAATTTATCAACCATTCCATCAGGTTTATCCGTTTGCCTATTCTGAGATTATTTTCTTTCTGTAGTACCCTTCAACATTGCTTCAGTCTCTTGTCTCCAGATGTTACTGCAATTTTTGCATACTATTCCTCATCCTTTGTGTTGTCTCAGCAAGCTTTTAAAGTGACATAATCGATTAAGACCTAGACAGTTGTATGTTCCCGTGGTAGTTTCTGCATTGTTAAGGGCATGAATGTCTATTGGTCAGAGTATTTCAGCCTTTCTAAAATAAACAACAAAACTCAAATGTAATTCAGTTAGGGTTATTCAAGACTAAATTGAAAATTGGCACTGCACTGTATGTTTAAGGGGCAAAAGTTATCCTTGGGAAAACTTAGTTTTATGGATTTTTGTACTAGGATGCATTTGAACCATTCTATGGTTGCTGCAGTGGTGGGAGAATAAAGGTCTAATTAGTATGTGTTCTGTATAATTGTAATTTTAATTTTTATAACTATACCTGCAGCACCAATCTAATGGAAGTTGTGGATTACTTTGTGCATCAAAGCAGTCATAGCTGTCAATGTTTTATTAAAATCTTTTGGAATTCCTTGCATTAGTTTTAACTCCACTACCAGAAGTATGGCATTTCATCCATGTGCTAGGTGTTATGCTGGAAATCTGCATTCCAAACAGCACTCTTAATCATGCAGAGGGGATATAGGAAGAACTTCCTGATACACTAAGATGGGTGCACCAAAAGGAATCCAAATACTGAGCCATTTGGGTTTTTTTCTCCTTGATGTGCAGAATTTCTCTATGCATCCATATTGACCTGGCAATGACAACAAGCTCCTGCTGTAACCAGTAATGAACGTGTTGTCTCGCCTAGAGACCACTTGCATCCTGGTCATCTGCTTCCACACCTAACATTAACCAGTTGTGCAAAGCATGTACATTTAAACATTAAACATATTTCCAAGTCACCTTTTAACAGATGCCTGTTTAGTTTCTTGTTTGCTTGTTATGTTTAACTGTTAGTTAAACATTTTCCAATGTCCTCTAAGACAGGTAGTGAAAGATGATCAACTTATTAAAAGATCTAGATGCATTTGCTGAGCAAAGATGCTCCACTAATCCTTATTATTGATTATTCTTTCTGCAGGCAGGGTAACAAGTCTGACTGCACATACATTGTGTTGAATGGTCGACTTCGCTCAGTTATACGAATGGATGATGGAAAAAAGCACCTGACTGGTGAATATGGCCGAGGAGACTTAATCGGAGTGGTAAGAGCAAGTTTCAAAAGTGAATTGTTTGGCTGAGAAACTGGTATTGACTCCACACTAAAAAACAAAATCTTGTTCTGATTGGTTGTTAATCTTAGTTCAGGCCTTTCACAAGTTGAAAAGATGGAAAATCCCTTCTACCTTGGAAACTTTATATAATAATACATGGATGGGATTATTAGATTTGGTTTGAAAAGAAAGGTAAACAAAAAAAAAGACACAACCAAACCAAAAAGCCCTGCACAATGCTCTTTCGTGATACGGATTACTTGCTTTCACATTAAGAGGAGTTCAGCCTGTTAGTAGAATAGCTCAGGAAGAATTTCAGGAATGTGCACTAAATGGTGATTTGAATAAATCTAGCGTCATAGAAAGATTCAGTTTGGGGCCTGCTGTGGAAGTGTGTAGTCCAGCCTCCTCTTAAGTTAGCAGAGCTAACTTCAAAGCTGCATCAGGTTGTTCAGGGAATGTGTAGTCATTAAAAGTTACTAAAGCAACTTTTGATTTCAAAATTGTAGTATTTATCCATGTTTAATTTCTCTGCTATGTTCATTTTTTGTTCCTCAGACCTAGTTAACAACTGAAATAGGAGTCCTACATCATAAATATGCATGGTTTGTTTGATTTTTTTTTTTTTTTTTTTTTTTTTTTAAATTTAAAATTAGAAGGTTTCGAAAGTTCTGAGATTGTTGTTCAGGCCCTCTTCTGCTTTCTGAGCTGAAAACTAAACATTTAATGTGTATCTGTTTGTAGCCAGAATTAGCGTAGTTCTGAATAAAGAAAACGTGAGAGTTAGTATTAGTACTATGGGAAGAAATTCTTGTTTATAGAGATCAAGAGGAAGAGGAATGAGGAATACAAGGCTGTTTCCCTCTAGAGAGCTGATTGAAGATTGTGCAGATTGCAAAAGGTGATGTTTTTGAAAGTGGCATGATCCAGCATTTGAGTGTTACCCACTGGTGTAAGAGGTTGTCCTCTGCTAACTTGCCTCTTTCCCTTGATCGCTGGCTATGTCTACATATAGTCTACAATGAGACTCTGTCTCTGTAGCTAGGGCAGGAATACAACATCAGCATGTGAGACCTAGTTGTCTCTGATGGCAAGAGGATCACAGATCGCTATCTGTATTGTAAAGTGTTCGTGGCAGAGGTCTTGTGTGCACTGAGAGACTGGGAACTGACCTAACATCTGAGGTAAAAAGTTTTCTTGTAAGGAGCATGAAGTCTGTGGACATTTTCAGTGCGTGTTCACAACTCATTTTCACTTGCCTAGTAACTTTGAAATAAATTGTATATCATTTGGAAGCGAGTGCAATAGCGTACAAGAGGCAATCCCAGCAGAAGACAAAGGTTGTCTGGACTGGTGACTGCATTGTATTCTTTGAGTTATATGTGGACAGTATTTAATGATATCTTCCCAAGATCAGTGCTACTTCTGGCTGAGGAGTTTTCTTGGCTTGGGACTGTATTTGGAGAAGCAGGTCTATTCTTGAGTGTGCTAGGCACACTCAAAAATTTTATTTCTTTGTTTTTTGTCTTTTTTGGGCTACCTCTTTGGGATACCTCATTAAATGTAAAATGACATGGTTTGACAGGAATGAAAGCTGAGATCTTTGTGACTAATCATGCTGGTACGAGGCCTTTTAGTGTGTGAATAAGGGTTTGTCAGTTTTGACTCATACAAACATTTTCCAGCTCGTTTCCCTGCTTTCTTTCACCAGGGGTAATCTGGAGCTCCACTGTGAAGATTCTGGAGTTTTACAGAGCTCCCAGGTTAAAACAACAGAGCTGCTGTTCTACTTTTTGAAAGCAGTTTTGAGTGACAGCGGAGCATACGGTCTAAACTCTACCTCCCTGTACAAGCACTAGTGCCAACTTTGGCATGACATTTCATGCTGGCTCAACTATTTATCTGGTGAGGAGAGAGGGAGGTTGATTTGGTGAATGGACTGGGACATGTTTGCTGTAACAGTGCCATGCTGGCTGGTGAGTCCCTAGGCCTGGATACAGAAACAGCCATATAGTGTATGTTTAAACCATAAGTCACTTTTCTGGATCCATGTCATGACATGAATCATTCTGAAGACCTTTGTGACTCCATGGATGTCATCTACTCCTTCCTACCCACAGCTTCCAGGCCCACTGACTCATGCTGCCATTTGTTGAACGAATCTCGATGCTCTGGCTGTCTTTTGAAAACATGGGGGAGGATTTTTAAAGATTGCCAAGATTAATGTAGCCGTTCTTTGCAGAGGGCATTAGTAAAATGACATTTTTCCTTTTAAAAAGATTTGTTTATCCCCTTCTGCAGGATCTGTTATAAACCTTTAAAAGCCTGCTGTAGCATTGGGTTTTTTCCCTGGAAGTAAAGTAATTGGAGGGTTCTAGGTGCTTGCAGGGAATGAAATTAGCAGTTGATATTGGTAATTGGTATTTTGGTCAACAGATGGCATGTTCCTCCCTGAAACCCCTCCAAGACCGCCCCATGTCATTCGGAACTGTGGGCACTAACAAAATACAAGACTCTTGTAGTTGATGTATTTTTGTTTATTGCCTTTATTTCAGAATTTTAAAAGTGCTGTGTGTCATATGCATAAGAGATGAGTATCTGCCATTTCTGCTTTCAAAAGAAAAGCACTGAAAAATGAAGGATTTCAGAAAGATGTTAATTTTCAAGCATGTGCGTGCACTCTCAAGGCTAAACTTGTGGCTCAAACTGTTTTGTTCCTTATACTGACTCAATAGCATCTGTTTCTGAGGTCTGTCAATTCAGGGGGAGAAGAACAGATTAGAAACCAAAGTCTCCCTGTGTAGTTACTTGAGGAGCTAACGAGGATAGTTATGTCAGGGGAAAATGATACCTACTCCCTGGGAGCCTTTTTGGAGGGATGCTGCCAGCTGCTTGCTGCTGCTGACCCTATCAATGGGCAATTCCAGTTGCTGTATCTGGTCAAATCAAGACAAAACTTGATTGAAGACCTTCCAGGTAGTTCTTAAAAGACAGTCATGAATCTGGGAAATAATTCCCTTGCATCTGAAATGCAGTTGACCACTTGAAAGACAGTTGACAGAAGTCCTGTTGTCTAGAGACTATGATTTGACCCATTTTGAGGGGAATCTTACAATTTGTTGGTGCCATTGCTACAGATGTAGTTGTGGAAAAATGTTGAAATGTTAATTTTATTAAACTGTTATGCGAGATAAATGGTAACTCTTCTATCGTCATTTCTACCATGCCCAGGTGACCCTAGAGGAAATCAGAAAAGCCCACTGTGTGTTGATAGAGTGAAAGGGGCTTCTCTTCACTAAGCTATTTGTTAAAAATGCTTATATTAGTCTCTCATTTTTTTTCTTGATGTTGTTGCTTTAGTTCTGATCTTGGTTAACTGCTGCAAATTATAGTTTTTACTCTTCTTATCTTGCTCTCATTAACAAATTGTCTGAGAGGATTCCTTTTCATTTGTTTATGACTGATATCAGGTAAACTGGCCCAGGCTTTGACATTTAGTGTTGTCTCTAGCACTGCTGATGAGACTGGGGGCAGTTATTCAGTATTTCTTTACAACCTGCAAAATAGGCGGTCCCAGATGGGTTACAGGATCACAACTCCAAGCATCTGTTGAGATGGATGTTCTTTGCTTTTTGCATTGTTGAAAAGATACTAGTGGGTGAGGAGAAGGGAAAAAACCCAACAGAATTATCTTGCAGAATAATCTCCTGCTGAATAGAAGTTATTTGTATACTGCCTGCTCTCTTCAAATATATGGATGTGATAGAACCTTCTATGCAATTACCTTTTTATGCAAGTCAACACTGTCTTAACTGGGTTCCTGGGGAATGGCTGCAGTGTTGCTAAGATGACTAATTGCCAGGTAGTTCTTAGGGGCCTCAGTGACAGCTGTTGAACTTAGGATATTTTTAACAGCTGGGCTCTTATGTAGTTTATAACTAGACTTATTGGTAGCCACCTGCCTCATAAAACTGTTGTCTGCAGTGTCTTACCAGCAAACCAGTCAGCTTTCAAAAATGCCTTACTGAGCGGGAAAGTTGCAGTAATGTTTTGGTTAATTCAAGATCCTTTCTGCTTCTTTTTAACCAGAATGCCCCTTCTTATTAGTAGGATTATACCCAGTTGTTTTGGGGTAGCAAAATAGCAAAACAAGTGCAGAAGGGCATTTGTGCACTAATGCTTTCTTTTAATGCAGGCCAGCACGAGTGATAAATTGCAGAAAAAGAATCCTCATCTGCCAGTGCTGCGGCATACCAGTTCTGCTGTGGAAGAAATCACGCTTTACATTGTAGAAATAATGGCTCTCTTAAGTGTTTTTAGATGTTAAGCTGTTCATCTCATTAATACAGTTAAATGTGCATGGCTTTTTTTCTGTCTATAAAGTTGAAAACCAAGAAGAATCTGTAAATGGCTTATAATTTGCTGAGGGATTTGGAGCATTGTCCTTTTGAAATGTAACACTGTTAGAAATCTTTAATCGCTGAGCAACCCTCAAAGGAAACACACCAGTATCAGGATTACAATTGTCAGGCTTTGTTTTTTATCAGTATTAATATTATTATACACCACCATCTTTTGACACTACTACAGCCAGCTGGATAGCATTGTACCCTTGACAACCGTGCTAAAACTGGGCAAGTTCTACTCTATTAAGGCTGGTTTACTTTGTCATTTTTAAGTGTGTGGATGTTTTTTGCCGATTAGTTGCATGTAATTTTTTCAGACTGTGAATTCTTCTGTTTCTAAAGCTTTAAGTCACTAAAAAACGAGATTTCGGGTTAATTCAGGTTAGTGGTGCCTCAGGCACTCTCTGTGCACAGCCCATATCTGGGGAAACTGGAGGCGGATGAGGTCCAAGAATTGAGCTGGAAGACGTGGTTCTGAAAGGGAGGTGTTCTCTTTCCAACTCTTCCACCGTCTGTCTTGGTAATACATTGCTAAAAATTATTATTTGCCTAGAAGCATCTTAAGTGTGAAATTGTATTTAAAAA